AAAATGTACGATAATTACACAAGTTGAATATATCACAGATCCTGTATATCATTTAACACTTACAATTTATAACATTTACAGCAAAGCACAGTTTATATATTGCGGCCAACTGACCTATACTATTTTAACATTTATAAATAATAATAATCAAATTAATAAAATTAAGATTTGTATAGGGCTCGCTCATATTTAAATTTAAAGAGCAAAAATCTATATACCCTAAACGGATTTAAATTACATTTTGATATACATATTTAATTAATTTTTGCTGGTCGTCACATATCATTTATTTGCAAAAGTAATAGGAGCTACTTCAGGATTGCCTAATTAAAGAATGCTTGCCATCGATGGGCTTTCTCGGTCTATCGGCGAGGATTAAAGAACTGCTTAAAAATAGTAAATTATTACAGTATTATTTTATAATATGAAATTGGATATAAAGTAGTGAAGTCATTAAAAAAATCTATAAATAGTTACGTGAAATTCGACTGCTAAAAAGAGTAAATGAAATTAAACTATACAGGAGGCCGCTAACTGTATTATACAATATTATACACAGGAACGCACATCACGTTAGACACAGAACGCGCATCGCGTATGACACAAAATGGCTTCTAAATTCTCAATGTCGCAACTCTTTATATATGGCTCTGCCGTATTCCAGAGCCATAGATAGAAAGAGTTGCGACATTGAGAATTTAGAAGCCATAGATAGACAGATTTCAGAGCCCGTATTCTGGACAGATTTTGACAGCCCGTATTCTGGACAGAGAAAGCCCGTATTCTGGACAGATTTCGCCACACCTACTGGGTTATGAAGGTTTTTATCGCATAAAAAGACAGTTGTATCATCCGCAAAGGAAATCACATTTACAATATCACTTACTCTAGAAATATCATTTAGATAAATAATAAAGTAGAGGGCCCAGGATGGATCCCTGCAGCACTCCACATTTAACATTAGTGGTGATTTAATAGCATCTATTTGTACAAGTATTTTTCGTTCACTTGATAGCTTTTAATCCAATCGAGACCAATTCCCCGGATACCATTGATAGATATTTTTTAACAGAATATCGTGATTCATAACATCGATAGGTCCATAAGTAGGGCCTATAAATAAAAATTGTCTGTTTTCGAAGACGTGGTTATATATTTTGTTAATTCAAGTATGGCATGTGAGATGGAGTGTTTTGGACGAAATCCGTACTGGTGGGGGTTTACTATGGCATATTTAGTGAGGTAGTTTATGAATGTATTATACACTGCTCTTTCGATGATTTTAGATAATACTGGGAGGATTGATATCGGTCTATAATTTGGTATTTCATCGACTTCACCTTTCTTATAATTTGGATTACTCTAGAAAAGTTTGGCACTATACCAGAGACAAAGGAGCAATTATTGTTGTGTGTAAGTGGGAAAACTATTTTATCTGCAATGGCTTTGATGACTTGCGGGGAAATGGGAGGGTCATGCTGTTAACCTGGTCGTTGGTGACCCTGCTACGACTGTTCCAGTAAAACTAATAATATCAACTAGATATCAATTCATATTATACGCAAGAAGAAGAAGGTGATACATGACGTTCTATCAATGGCAGAACTTAAAATTAAAAAGTGGTTAACACAGGTTGAGTCGATATGATAATAGTGGTCAGTATGGTCAAATAGAACACGATTGTCACAGCAAACATTCGTCTGTTTACTCGACATATTTACACACGTTTTGAATGCTTCAATAATAAAATCATTAGGCTTTTGGTACACCATGTGTAAAATATGGTTTTTGAGTTAAAACCTGTGATTGGTTGTCTCGACGTTTCGATGAGTTACTCTGGTCGTTACAGGAGAATGATAAAAGATGATTTCTGTTGGCCAAGTTTTGACGATTGTTCTCTTTTTTATGTACATACCCTTCATCGTTCACTTTCCTTTTTATGGCTTTCAGAAAAAAACTGTTTAAAATAGCATATACACTGTAAAGCAATTTCTTGAGTTAAAAAATATAGAAGATTAAAATTTAAACAACATATGAATAGATAAAAGCAACATTCTTTAACCGTAACAAAATTCTGTAATTAATTTTTTTTTTTAAATCCATAAAACAATGGCATGGTGTTGGGATATTTACTAGATTATATTAATTTACACTAAATTGATATATACAAATGAAATTCAGTTTCGAATACCATGTAAATTATCACTACTTTCGTAGGAAGCGTTGGTGATTGGTTGTTTTACACCAGTACACAAAGAAGACAATACGTTATATTTGGTTTACATCTGGCAGGTCTGGTATTCGATCCACTCATTTTCAATTTAGTCATGTTTGGTGACGCTTCCCCTTTATCACCTCACCCTGTATTATTTCTGACTGGAATCGGGCTAATGTTGTCCGTATATCCACAGACAATACCGGGGTTTTGTGTTTGGAATACTACAAATCCTAGTGAAGAACGGAAGTCAGAAACTCCTTTGGAGGAGCGAAGTGCTAACAATGCGGCGTCTCGGAAAGCAAAACGTCATGGTGTTGGCTTAACAAACACTCAGTCGAACTACATCCGAGAACAAAAAATGGCAATGCAAGGTTCTAACGACTACCAACCAGTACTTATCAATATAACGAATGAACAACAAGCAGATATATTGGCGATATACGGCTCGTATTTTGAAAAAGAGAACAGCTTACAAGAGACGCAGGAACAAATGGCTTTTAGTAGAGTTGCCAGAGCAGTTGTGGAAGTGTGTCCAAGGATAACTTCCTGGGATGAAGTGACCCTAGTGAGAAGTGCCGATGGCAGATACCTGCAAGTCGTTCAAGTAGGTTTTTCTATGTCAATAGTCATGTTTATATAACAGAATGGAACTGTGGAACGTATCGCAAATAATATTATCAACATAGTACTCGATGGTAAACCAAAGCGAATAAAAATAAAAAGCGAGGTTCAACAGTATTTTTGATTAGACATCTTACTACTCTTTAGTTTCGTACCACACACATGGTGTGACACACTTCAGTTCAGATAGAATTGCCCAATGACTATAAGATGTCATGATGATAGAACTGAGTAAGATAAGCTGAGCATGTGCAGAACATCAGCGGTACTTCAAAAGCTAATCAAAACTACCGTTGAACCCCTTTATATATTAATAATAATAATAATAATAATAATAATAATAACAATAAAAAGGGAGGGGGGGGGGGGTTGGTCGGGAAAATTTTGATTCCTAGATGGCCGGAAGTGAGCTTTTCCGACTTCTGAGGAGTCTTTTAATGACCTTTAAGTTCTTCAAAATTCAATGTTTTCCAAATTCAAGGTTTTCCCCCTCTTGAAAAAAGGTAAGTTTATCTCATTCTTTAGGCCTATCATAGAGGAAAAAAATCAAAGACAGGCAATATATATTCCAACAACATTGAGTAGTTAGATAGGGTGTAGTCTTTCTTCCATAAATCGATAAACCGATAAGCCTGAGAACTCACTTTCGTACATAAATTATTACGACGGCGAACCAAAAAAAGTGTGTATAATTTATTTAATGGAAAACTAGTTGGGCTAAGACTGTAGAGTTTGTCTGATCATGATCTTCCAACCTATGCCTAGGTAGGTTAACATGCTTTTTGTAAGCCAGGACCGGCCAGGACCCAGTTGTATTTTGTTACTTTCATAGTTACCAACATGAGATTTGAAATGCATGGTTACACTAGTTGAGTGGGAGGGGGCGCCAGATCCCCCGGGGTCATTGACGGAACCCGAGGCCCGGGTTCCAGTCACATAATCAACGGTTGGTTGTGAAAAATGGAACGCACAAGACCGCACGCGACTACTAGATTCTACTATAGTGCATGGTTGGCTGGGTTGTTTTGGTGGGGAAAGAGACATTTTATCGGTAAATTGATTATCGAACGAGATAACGAAACCTCTAATGACTCAAGCTATTGCATGACCGTTTTTATATTTTAATAACACCAATTTCGTCTAATTTTAAATACATTTTCCTATGAATTCGTGATAATTGTTATCACGCATAGACTTGTGCTAAATGCGTGACAAATTTCTGATCACGCATGTGTTTCTGCAAAATGCGTGTTTCATCCAAAATCAATGTTAAATGCGGGCCGTCCCACACGATGCGAGACTTTTGGTAACTATGCTTTTCTTCGCAGAGGGGTGGGGGGTGGGGGTTCGTCCGAACCCCTTCAACTCTCTGGGTCCGCCACTGGTCACACCATCTGGTAATGGATCCAAAATACAAATAACAAGAACACATAAATATATAAAAATTCGAAGTGAAAATAAACAGTAAATAGTGAATGAACAATGCTACCAAACGAGCCATCGACAATTGTCCTAAATCACATCGTTATATATATACCGGTAGCTCTCAGTCGGCCTCTCTTTTCCTTGTTTTGATTTTTTTTCTTATCGACATTGATTCCTAGATCGTTTTAGCCAATCGGTGTAAATATATATAGGCCTATTAACACAAATAAATATATAGGCTACTCCTGCGTAGCATGAGTATATATTAACACAGATTAATATATACTCGACATGCTAGCATGATATTAACACGAAAATTAATATATTACATGCTACGCAGGAAATAGTTGTATAGTCCGGACCTACTTAGCAATATATGATTTCGATTCTCTGTTGGTTTCACATGAATTTTCTACTTAATCTCAGCTTCCAGATGAAGACCTTAAACAATGGATTTTACAAGAATCCTGCCAAAACCCAGTGTCGAACGTGATCAACAATGTTAGCTGTGAGAAAAGGGAGCGCCTGGTTCGTGCAGTGGTCATTGATCCAGATATTATGCTCATCAATGCTGTTGATGTTGTCGTGTACTGTTGCGCAGCTTATACAACTTTATAATTGCGTAGAATTACTGGCACACTGTGTTTTACAGACAGTGGTCCAGCTCATTACTCAAATATATTAATAGGCCCTATTGCCTTTTATTGTTATTATTATTAATAACTGAAATCACACAAAACATGAGTTTTCATCATCATACATCTGGTAATATCTTAATGAGTTTATTTAATATGATAATATTATCTAATAATAAGTTCATTTGTTTCAAAATAAACAAACTATCTTTTTCAATAGTATAACCGTATACGTTTCTTCAACTGCAATTGCCGTGACCACGATAGGCCTATTATAGTGTATAATACAGTGGCGTATGGCGTATTGAAATTGGAGTGTGGCGAGGTTGGGGTGACGAAGCTAAATATAGAGCTCCTCGGTGATTAAACGAGAAAACGCTAAAAGAATGACTGTTCCATTAATTTTATTTATTTTGTCTTAGAACAATAAACAAAAACAACAACCGTTTACAATACAACATAATACAGAATTATCAGAAAAAATATCTAGTAGGTCACCTAAGTACACTATTCCAATTACACTTAGATATAAAAATGTAAACTTAAAATAAAACTTGAAATTTGTAACTTTAAAATACCAATACAATTTTCCCTTAACAATAGGTATGTAAATATTATAAAACTTATTGAAAATTATATTTTAAGAGTTTAAAAATTGTTTAAGATTCAAAATCAATAAATCTCTAGTTTCCACAGGTAGTTCCTCCCCGGCGCGTGGAAACAAATGGAACAAAGAGTATTTCAAATAATTTGTTCGAGCATATGGGTTTACAAATTTAAAATGATCACCGTGTCTAGAGTAGATTGTTATGCAGGGACGTATCTGTAGGGGAGGTGGGAGGGAAATCCTTGGGAGCCGCGACTCTCCATCCCTTGTACAAAGTGTTAGTATTTTAAAGCCTATTTTGCTAGCCAATACAAAATTATCAAACTTATAAAAAATCAGCTAAAATTCGTCTTAATTCCATGAAACCCAGGCTAGGTGCTTTAAGATACAATAATAATAATAATAATAATAATAATAATAATAATAATAAAAATGATAATGATAATGATAATGATAGTGATAGTGATAGTGATAGTGATAGTGATAATGATAATGATAATGATAATAATAATAATAATAATAATAATAATAATAATAATAATAATAATAATAATAATTAATAATAATAATAATAATAATAATAATAATAATTAATAATAATAATAAATAATAATAAAAATAATAATAAAAATAATAAATAATAATAATAAAAATAATAAATAATAATAATAATAATAGCCTAACTAGACTATGTCTGTTTGAACAGCAAAACATAGGGCTTTTCCCCATTGCTTTAATAAGAAATGAAGTTGAAATTGAAATGAAGTGAATGAAGTGGGAAAACAAAGGGGCAAAAAAAAAACAACGAAAAAAGTATTTAACCTAGCTGTAACTGGTTTAAGCGCTTTAGAAAACGCAAATTGCGTTTAAATAATTTAATCAACTGTCATCAAAAAATCTTCATAACTACACCCTACTGCCGATCGTCACCAAAATTGTATCATTTCTTCATTTCATCATGAAAAACTATTCTGTCTAGTGTCATTTTTAATTATCTATAACTGGGAGGTAAGGATATATAAATGACCCTCAAATTTACAATATCTTCCTTGTAACTTGGGTTAAACTTTACCGAAAGTTTCATTCGGATCAGTTAACCCGTTTTTTTAAATATCTGGTCTAGGACGTTTTCCTTTAAATTAAATGGTCCCTAAATCACACCCTAAGCCGGATCATCACAAAAATTCAATCATTTCTTTATTAGACCTTTACAAACTATTATAGATAGTTACATTTACATCCATTGAAAACTTTTTATAGATAGGCCTATTTACGTCTGGGATTTCAAAAATGTTAATGACCCTCCAACGTACACCCTTGAACGATTCGTCGCCAATACATGACACTATCTTCCATGTAACTTGGTTAAACTTTCCCGAAAATTTCATTCAGATCAGGTTTTCAAAACATGTGGTCTGGGACGTTTTCCTTTCAATACCGGGAGCCCAGAAAATTTAATTATGTGAAAAGAGACAAAAGGATTGATGGTCTGGTCATGATAGTATAGGGCCAAGATAAAATATTCAGTATTGCTGCCAGGACACATCCTGTACAAGCGGACTGGGGGAAATGAAATAGAGGGTTAAATAATGCATTTAATCATGTGGAGAGAGACATGGATAAAAATAATTGGATATTACTCCCAGGTAGATACTTGCAATAATGTCACAGGTGACAGCAACTTTTACCTGTACGTGACCTTAAACAGTGACATTAAAGGACACGCCCAAATACATTTAATCATGTGAAGAAAGACACGGATAAATTGTTTTTTATTGGAACTATTATACATTGGGGGTAACAAAAATACCAATGACAGCAACTTTATCCTGTACATAAGCCCAGACAGCAGCCCCAAGGGACACACGGGGGTCTTATATAGTAGCAACATGATAAAATCAAGCAAAGAGAGACATGAATGAAACCAACTAGGAATTACTATTTGTACATTGTAGAATGATGAAACACCGATGACAGCAATTTTTTCATGTACGTGACCCTAAACAATGACATTAAAGGCCACGCCCAAATCACATTAATCATGTGAAGAGAGACACGGATGATTTTTTTTTATTGGCACTATTATACATTGGGGGTAACATAAGTACCAATGACAGCAACTTTATCCTGTACATAAGCCCAGACAGCAGCCCTAGGTTCCCAAATTGACTTATTATTTATAGTATGATATGGTCGAATCTAATAATGATTAGAGATAGCAGAAAGCAACTGAAACACCTGATTATGACACAGACAGTGGTTCTGGAGATCAACTTCAGAATAAAACAGGAATTAAGTGAAGGATGGGACCATTTACACTGGAACTTTTAAACATTGGAAAGAAAATCCAATTGACAGCAATTATTTACTACTTTAGTCCAGGGGGCTTTTCCCCCTGGAAGCCACGGATATTTGACGAATTATGGCGAATTTTTATTACTTATTTGAATGATAGGCATCGAGTTACTATATGACTTCATGTAGGCTATGTTTTCTAATATCAGCTTCCAAAACCAAAACATTTTCAATAAAGCAAGAAACAAAGAGTATGCAATGTACAGTATTACTAACCATCTAATTTAATTTCAAATCCTCATTCTTGAAAGTGAAATTCTACATTTTGGAAATTTGTTAACCACGCTGTCATGGTCGAGTTTGCTTCACCTATCACAATGTATTCCAAGCATCATGAGGCTATCCAAACGAGCATTTGTCATAACAGAAGGCAAATTATTTTTTAAATAGTCTCATTGAACTATTATTATTATTTTTATCATTATTATTATTTTTGTTGTGGTTGTTGTGATGAAAAGTTAACACAAACGATATGGTGGCTAAACGAATATTACATTAAATATTTTTTTTTATTTGTTTGTTCCCCGACAAAATTTATCGTCTTCCCCGACGGGGGGGGGGGGCATGCTTCCCCGACGGGGGGGGTTATGCTTCCCCGACGGGGGGGCTATAGACCCCCTCTGGCGCCACCCCTGATGTGAAGAGAGACACGGATGAATTTTTTTTTATTGTTACTATTATACATTGGGGGTAACATAAATACCAATGACAGCAACTTTATCCTATACATAAGCCCAGACAGCAGCCCCAAGGGACCCACGGGGGTCTTATATAGTAGCAACATGATAAAATCAAGCAAAGAGAGACATGAATGAGAAACCAACTAGGAATTACTATTTGTGCACTGTAGAATGCTGAAACACCGATGACAGCAATTTTTTCATGTACGTGACCCTAAACAGTGACATTAAAGGCCACGCCCAAATCACATTAATCATGTGAAGAGAGACACGGATTATTTTTTTTTATTGGCACTATTATACATTGGGGGTAACATAAGTACCAATGACAGCAACTTTATCCTGTACATAAGCCCAGACAGCAGCCCTAGGTTCCCAAATGGACTTATTATTTATAGTATGATATGGTCGAATCTAATCATGATTAGAGATAGCAGAATGCAACTGAAACACCTGATTATGACACAGACAGTGGTTCTGGAGATCAACTTCAGAATAAAACAGGAATTAAGTGAAGGATGGGACCATTTACACTGGAACTTTTAAACATACACTGGAACTTTTAAACATTGGAAAGAAAATTCAATTGACAGCAATTATTTACTACTTTAGCTATAGATTTCTGTTTGATAAAATTTTGTTAAACACTGACTTCAGATGAAATACAACAATACCATGATACAAACTCAGTAACAAATATTTATTAGATCGGATTAAACTACAGAACATGAATTGTCTATACATGATAAATGATACAGCGTCAAGGTGTATTTCAATCAGATTGTTGAAAAATATGTAATCATAGGATTAGAACCTGGTAGCTTTTGGCAGCAGTCTCTTCTAGGTTACAGATGTAACAGCATTTTACTATAGTTAGTCAATAAAGTGATAGCAGTTTTGAATTTTACATTGCTTCTTCTACTATTACAACAAATGTGTCCACCATATGGATTATGGATTGATTGTAAATCAAGTATCTATATGATTTTTTTATATATTGCATACACAATTGAACTCCGGTATTGTACACTGCGGTAACAATGTGTTTGTAGCAGTACGATACAAAGCACGAGCAAGAAACACTTAAATAATAGGTAAATTATTCCCCGCTGGACACCATCCCGGTATTTCTGAGTCTAGGTTTCGGAGCTAGAATTTATGGAAATACTTCCATTTTGTCCTGCATTTGTTAGAAAACAATAAATACTTAAAAACTTAAACTGAGGTATTGTGCATTGAGGTAATAACATGTTAAAAGCTGTACTAAGAAAAAACAAGAAACACTTAACTAATAACTATCCCCCACCGGACACCACCCCGGTATTTCTGAGTCTAGGTTTCCGGGCTGAAATTTTATATGAAACTACTTTAATTTTTCTACATTAGTAAGTATAAACAAATAAACGCTTATAAAATTAAAAACGGGTATTTTTTGTGTGAACACGGAACCAAACTTTTTAAAATCACGTTTCTACAATGAGTCTTTTGGCTTCATTAGTATTTCAAATGCATCAAGAGTCAATCAGTTAATTGATTAGGATAAGGCTTTTTATTATCGGCACACATTTATGATGTAACCTTACAAAACAAAAACAAAAGCATAAGCAAATAATGTGTTCCACCTTACACAATAGGTAAACTAGGAGGAAAAATACAACGGAAAATACTGGGACAAGACAGCCGGGGGGAAATAGCAGTTGGAAAACAGCCTTAAGGAATAGCCTGGAAAAATAGCTGGATGGAAA